TAGACTATGTCTGACTAGGTCTAACTTGTGAAGATACTGCAGTGTCTTCACCGCGATGCCGATAAACCCGGTTGAGGTGGTTAGTCCTCCTCTGTCGGTGCCTGTACACCGGCAAGCGTTTCGCGACCTCTGCGCACGCACTCGATGTAGTACGCGGTCCGGACATCTACCGACACGACAAGAGTGTCTTAGTCGGGTACGTTCTGTCATAATTTACTCGCGTTTACTGCTTACCGGATTTTAACGTACTAGACAAACGCAATTAAAAAACTTTATTTTGTCATATTAATCGTTCATTACGGATGTGAATACTACAGTTCTATATCGTACTATTCAGGTGAAATTAAGTCTGTAATCAAAAACCCCAGCGCTGAGTCTGGGGGGATGAGTTATCATTTTTACAACAAATAGTTCTTTGCTGTATAGAACGACCGTTATAGGACTTGCTCCATTGTCGTGATATGGAGCGCCCATACTGTTAGACGTTTAATTAGTAAAATTTTATGGTTTCATGAATATAGAAACGATAGAGTTTAAGGCTGACGCGCCGAGCGAGACAAAGACCTAAAAAACAAAGTAATAACGAACACCCACGTAAAACCCAAAACTCTCAAGCAAAAACTAACTCCGTCGGTTGTTTTTATTCGTTAAGAGAAGTCGCGTTTGTTCTCAGTACGTCGCTTCACACGTAAGTTACTGGACAGTTCTATAATGACCAATAATTATAAAAGACTTTTAGGGTTAGAAGTGAGAAGTTATACTACTATTGTGTGTGCCGCTCGCTTGCGGTCACAAAAAACCGCGATGATTTTAAACGTAACTTCCTAAACATCGTATATATAATTAGTCACCCGACTTACGATTTTGTTTTTACTACCCCCTTTGATATGGAAAGGTCGAGAAATTTATATGCACACTTGCAACACCAATAAAGGATGCGCACACACTTGTCCGTCGTAACCAGAGCTCGATAGTCGACGTTGGTCGGACCACGGACGGGTGAGCGCGAGGCCCAGGAGCGGCCCAGTCCAGGCCACCAGTCTCTCGTGCTGCGTAGGCATCACAGAGAGCAGTCTCGTTTAGTGTCGGTGGCTCTTACTTGTGTGCTATCGAGCGTTGTACTGAGTGCTGAACTCGTCAAGAGAGCAGTGTGGTACTTAGTTCGTCCGGGTATGTCTACGACTTGCTCCATCACGCGGCATCCTTGCTACCAGTCAGACCTCAGCGCAGCCTGTATTTTTTCACGGTACAGAATTCGTCTACGAGTGAACGTGGGTACGAGACTATCGGTATAAGTTACGACGCAACGTTAAAGCCCTCCAAATACTTAGTTCAAGTTATTATGTTCTACATGACTTTGTCGCCTATCTGCGGGGCCAATCACGAAGTCGGCGGCATACGCTTGGCCTCGAAGTTGCACCAAGCTCAGGCGACGCATGCGCTGTTGTATTCTTTTTCGACGGCTACCACGAGGAATTCGTTCTATGGTTTGGCGAGTTGACGTGGGGTAACTGAGGACTATGGTATCATAATTACGTACGCAACGTAAAGCCTCACAAATAGTTAGACATGTACACATAAGAGTCCCCAACATCAAAGAGAATTTTGCTCACTTCTAGGGAGCTTGGTAGGGGAACACCTAATTTCACAAATAACAAAAGATCCTCTTGTGTTTGGACAGGATTTACAGAGAGTTGCCAAGACCAAATTGTACAGGAGAGGGTGATCGTTGTCTGTGACTATATGTACAATGTACCATATTATAGAAGATAGACGTATGGATAGAAAAATGACGCGGCGGGACGGGACAGTGGAACCTCGCTGCGAGAGGAAAGACAATCTAGAACATCGGATGTCCGTTTCCTTTGTCGCGTAGGTTTGTAGTAGTGGTTGTCACTCACATACTATTTATTTACGCGAAATGAGGGGTACGACCCAATTTGAATCACCAAGAAAACAGAGAAGGGATTCCACGGGCAAGAGGGTGCGGTCTCATAGAGCAGTATCTCAGCGCTACTCATCTGGGTCGGAACCGGGTGATTCAGGTGAGTTTGTGCCCCTTGCGACGGAGCGACGGTTGTGACGGGGGCGAGGCCTGTTGGTTGCGCAGTTTCTCCCGAAATGGCGTTTCTGTGCATCTCCTTTAGGGTTTATTTCGAGGTAGAGACGAAAATTTGATTCGCGAAGAGTCCCGCCGTGTGGCTAACCTGTGAGCGAACAGTGCTAATTGCAGCCCCTTTTTAAGAGATTTGGGTACGGAGGAAAATAGAGAGGGTTGTGTTTTCTGACACTTGGTGAGTTCCCTGAAACACCGGGGACACATATTCATGTATAAAAGATATACAAAAGTGCATTTTGCACCTTTAAAGAAGAATATGCACAATTAAAGTACTTTTAAAAACGTTCCCTTTTATGATTGGATCTTGTTATCCAGGTCCCTCGAAAAGACCCTGAAATGAGAGGAAGTGCTATTGAACAATCTTAAGGGATTTTCAAAGCTCTAATTGTGGTTAATTCTCTTCTGAATGGTAGTAGCGTCATTAAAAAAAATCTAAACTCTCTTTTCTCTACCCCCACCACAACAGTCTCATTTATCAAATGAATCCGAAAAATAGAAGAAAAAAATGTGTCTTAGTCTAACTAAACCTAAAAGGTGAAGTCATGTCAAATAATTGTCCTGACCCTTACCGTGGCGTTTTATGCCAATGGTTAACATGACCTAGGAATATTGCAATCCTTATCGTTATAGAAGTAGCATCCCTGCACAATTATAGTAGAAATATCCAGTTAAACAGTTTCAGTTTATCACCTGAAAACTAAAATCTCTGAGGAAAGCCGCTGTTATCTGTTTTCCTATGGGACTTGAACGCACCACCATTCTAGACAGTTTTGGCACGATTTTCGCTCAGCTTCCCTGCGCGTTATCCCTCTGCTGTGTGAGGGGATAATCCCATTTAGACAGAGAGCGTCCTCACACGAGGACAAGATGTTTTAGCATAGAAGTCTCACTGTGACAGATGATGATATTTAGGCAGGAATTATCCAGAGCTTCTGTAATCTTTTTTTTTTGTATATGAACTAAAATAAATAGATTAATCCAGTCGTTTCAATTGAAGGAGTTATTTATTTTTTGACGGTCTTTCCTAAAGAATGAATTAGTGGCTCTCGGGCAGCGTTTCCATGCAACAGCGCAGAAAGCCCCGCAGCACACGGACGCACGGATAGATGCTGTAGACCGCGTTCACCGGGACTCAGAGCGCCTTTTAGAGCCGATGGAGCGACAGGATGATGGGGAGGATAGTGCCGAGGATCCGGGTAAGAGCTTAAACCTTTGGCAAGAAACGCAGGAATTTGATGACAAATATTTGTGCAGTAGGGAAAACATAGAGCTGTACTCTATTTTCCAATTGTCATGCATGTCCCTAAATTCCCTCTGGTTGGTTCAGGAGATAGCGCACGTGCACGTGTAATATAGCTGTTTGTGTGGAGAGAGCAACATCACAGTGAGCCCATTAAAGGAGATTTTGAAATTGAAATGCAGATAAGTGCTACTTTTATTTATTATTTTCTCATCAGGCAGTCTCATTGAGATCACGGTCTGGGAGGGAGACCTGAAAGCAAGAAACTTAAGTCAGCTGCAAAAACACAAACAATACAAATCTACATTACAAGGAATGAAAATAGTTTGATAAAAAAATACCTGATAATAAAGTCTCCCATTGGATAGCAAGACTCCAGTTCAGCTTGAAGTCTATGTAAAAGATGCACAGTCCCTGAAAACAGTTCTGCCAACGTGTGTGTACAGGAGTACTTTCTAAGGTAAAGCATTGACTGCACATTTTAATGAGAGAACATGTGCGGTTGTTTGGAAGCTTTTTAAATGAAAATCACAAGATGGCTTTACTGCTGGACTGTAAGGAGCTTCATATACTGTTACACCAAAAACCAAAATATGTAGTTTGTGATTACAAATGATATACAATTCAATGCAGGGTAACATGGCTACAGTTTCGATGGTAGTTTCACAGACGTCCTTTTATTTAACACAAGAAGCCTAGTTTGATTTCATCCATTACATGTTGTGGAATACTGGACCAAAAACTGTTGTGGGTAGTGAGCATATATTTTAAGATGAGTTTCAGCCATGTTTAAGTGAACAGTGATTACAACTACACATTGTGGATGCTTTTTGATTGTGTAAAATCATTTCTAGGTCGAAATAAAACACAAGGTGTGAGATAAAATGTTGCTGATAATATGACCAAAATATACTAAGTGGAATCACTGTCATGAACGAGAACAGATCTGCGGATGCCCTTTTGGTCGTTCTCAACATGTGTCCATATTTCCCAGCCATGGCATGCTCTCTCATGTGAGCTCAGTTGGTTTGACACACCTGTTTGATTCTCCACACTATAAAATGTTTGGCTGTAAAATTACAGTAAATTACTGGCTACTAGTTGCATGGATTTCACAACAATTTACTGTAAATATTTCACAGTAATTGACTGTAAATATTTCACAGTAATTTAATGTAGATATTTTACAGTAAATTAGAATAAAATTACAACTAAATACTGTGACTTTAAAGTTGCCATGCCCATGGAATTACTGTGATATAGCAGTACAGAGCTGTGGTATTATGTNTTACCTCCTCGATGATGAGGCGCTCACTTGGGTGTCTGGTAGGACATGCTACTCCTAGGAGTCTGTGAGCGGGGCGGGGGGAATGACACACTAGCGCAGTGACTGAACCTGCTCGTCACGCCGTACGTAGTACAGACTCACGAAGAGCAACTCGAGTACTCTCGGCAAAAGGGTCGCCGCCACTTTTTATGTACTTTGGAGTGCCCTCCAGCGGCAGGAGTCAAATATGGGCACAACAAAAAAGTTAATTACATAGTAAATCAATTGTTTACACACCTATATAGACTTGTTGGTTTCACCAAAGTTTTAGTTAAATTAAGTAAAAAACCTTTGTAAAAGTACTAGCCGAACAACAAACGCACCACAACACATGTAAAAGTCAAATAACAGTAACGGTAAGACAGTCAGTAATTCACCGATAAAATTTTACCAATTAAACGCATGCCATGGTTTTGTTTGTTTGTTTCGCACAAGTTTAAGGTATACTTACAATAGATTGTGACCCCAAACGAACTATCTAATTGTCATGCAATACGAGAAAAAGAAGAGAGTTAATAAAATAAAGATAACACGTGAGATTAGTTATATTAGTTTGATAACAAGAAATAAATGTAATTTTAAACCTAAACTAAATACCGCAGATGTTGCTACTATGTTTACAAAACACAGTATTACACATGTCCCCCCCACACACCACTTGTTATTGCCCCCTGTCTCGAACCGACGACAGTCTGCTAGTCGACACGTCGCAGTAGTGTTTGCCTACCAGCGAAGTGCACTGCGGAGGCCCCTCCTTTCCTGCAGGTTAACGAGAATTTTGAGTAAACGGGACCGAAGGAGCACAAGCAACCGTAGAGAGGTACGAAGGGACCACCCTCCCCTGATCCAGTGTCCCTTTGCTGCCGTTCACTCCTGCGTTCCTCTAGGTAAATTGGCTTCAGCGGCGGTCATTCCCGGGACCAGGACGGGACCGAGGCGGCAGACGGTACAAGGTTTAACGTGGAGTCGGTACATATATATTTCTCTTCGACCCTCCTCTTTCCTCCAGAGCGGTATAGGATGGCGACCCCTCTGTGAGAGGAATCTTATGGAGAAACGGTAAAAGCCTAGTCATACAGATTATAACTATCAAAGTGGAAAAGTAGTCCTTCATACTGCGACGCGACAGTCATACGAACGAGGTGACAAAACACTAACCAAGCTTACGAGGTTTATGGTGGGGAAAGTAACACTATGCGCGTGGATTGATCCTATCCTGATGCCACCGAACTCGCTCAAGGTGAATATTATTCGGTGCAGCCATAATGGTCAAATCGCTACTCGCGCACTACAAACCTAATCCGGTTGGCCGCATGAGTTTGTATAGTCGAAGCCGAGACTCATTCCGGAGTCCAATCAGGTCAAAAGCCGCCCAACATAAATCAAAGGGGTATCCCCAAATATAAACTTAAAGACCAACCCCCCTCGAGACCAGGCATGCCGGGCCCCACACCGAACACCGCCCCAGAGTCCGTGCATCGGTGACATGGCCGCCGGTCATCTCCAACCCCCGGCATTGTGTACAGGATCTGTGACACTTTACATGTAAGAAAACATAACGTTAACGCTCCTCGCTCCTCCGGCAAAAATAAGGTCATTGGGACGCTACTCAAGATGGCGCAGACAAATCAACTTCCGGTGAGACCGAGACCGAGAAGCGAGGAAATGAAAAATAAGTGAGAAGGGCCCCAGGTGCACCTGGGCAGAGGCGGAGCCAGGGGCAGACCAGGAGACAGAAAGAAAACAAGGAGGGGAGCACATGTCAGACATCCACTCGAAGTCAACAAGTTTTCTGAAGAATGTGCTGACATCGGGGTTTAAATTGCCATGCCTCTTTTTGGCTTTAGAGCCCGTCTCAGGATTAATGCCCAGGAAGCACCTGAAAACAATAAGCCAAGACAACAATTTCAATTTTACATTTATTTTAAGGCACATGCAGCGGTGCTCCTTTCAATTTAAGTAAAACCTGTACGAAAGAAAGAAATTAGTATTTAAAGCCAAGCAAGAGTGATAAAAACAAGAAAATCACTTAATTTGTTGTGTTATCACAGAGGATGGTCTGAATACAGTATTTTACTATGAAATAATACAGTAACATGTTGTGAAATCCTGGTAATCGTTGATCCTGTACATTCACAGTAATTAACTGTGCCTGCATTGATTTCACTGTGAAATTCTAAATTACAGTATTATATTGTGAACATCACAGGTAAAGACTGTAAAGTGGTAAAACAGTAATTTATTGTAAAATATTACAGCTAAATATTATGAAATCATGGTAATATTTTACAGTGTACGTTAAATAACTCAAAGGTGCATTTTGGTTTCACAACAAGACGTAAAAGCTGGTCCCATGAGGGGAGTTGTCCCATTTTGAAATATGTCACCTAACTTTTTAATTGCTTGATATTCATATAAATGCAAATATTGGTTGTTTGATGCTGCTATTAAAAACACGTCAGGTCCTTTTTTGGGGAGGACAGGCTGTAAATAAGACCTACATTTAAAAAATAAACTATGTAACTTTAAGGTTACCATGAAGGCTTAGGTTTGAACTCTCAAGGGGAGTCTACCTTTCTGGGTTTAACGTTTTGTGTGTTTCTTTCTCCAAAGGAGAGCCTTTCCATTTGTTCTGAAGGAGAAATAAACCTCTTACATTTCTAACTATAGTTTAAAAACGGTAGCTGCTTTTGGTAAAATGTAAATGTGTGTGTGTGTGCGTGTGTGCATGCGTGCGTGCGTGCGTCTCTTCTGCTGGATTATAATCCTGTGTTATTTGGCTTCTTGCAGGGATCACCAGTCTACTAGCTAATGCTGTGTATACATCTGCTTACCCTCTGCATGATGTGAGTTTTTATCTCACAGCCATCTCTGCCTGACCGGCCTGATAAATTGCTGTTTATATACTGAGAGATTTATTCCAATTCATTGAGTTTCTCATATGAAAATCACCAAAGCTAAATTGACGGTACTTTATAATGTATGTAAAATAATCCTAGGTTTCTCATTTATAATTGTGTGTTAAGTTAAAGGCTTTTTTCCATTACATGCATGATGAACAAAGTGCATTTATGGTTACAGGGAGACATCGAGGGGGTGAATGCAGAGGCAAACGACAGGAAGGTACGTAGAGCAAGTCCACCAGTCAATACATTGAACCAGATGTCACCACGGCAACACCTTCAGTTAATTTACAGATACTCAATCATCAATCAGCCCTAAAGGAAACACAACACCACCTCTTCATTTGTATTAACTTCCAACTTCTCTTCCCCGCTCTTTGTCACTTTCTCTCAAACATCACAAATGAGCATAGTGAGGAGGATTCGGAGAAAAGCTGCATTCAGCAGCATCATGTTTTTCATCTGATAACGATGACACACAATCTCATGTTAAATACATTTGACTTAAAAAGGACATATTCTGCTCATTTCCAGGTTCATAATTGTACTTTGTGTCTCTACTGTGACATGTCTCCATGCTTTAATGTTCAAAAAGCTCTTTATTTGTCTCATACTGGGGAGTGTGTGATAGAGCAACTCCCTTGGAAACTTTGGGATTTTAGCCTTTGCAGACCATTTAAATGCATAAAACCTATATAACAACACACTATAGGAAAGGAAAACCAA